TGTAATCTCTCTTCTTGTTTATTTTCTTTTTCCTCCAACCACTGCTGTAATTTCTCTTATTGTTTCTTTTTCCTCCAACCACTGCTGTAATTTCTCTTATTGTTTTTTTTCTTTTCCTCCAACCACTGCTGTAATTTCTCTTCTCGTTCTTCTTGTTTCTTTTCTTTTTCCTCAAACAGCTGCTGTAATCTCTCTTCTTGTTTATTTTGTTGTTCGAGCTGCCACTGTTGCAGGTTTTCTTGCAACTGCTGTTGTCTCTCTTCTTGTTTCTTGTCTTTTTCCTCTAACAACTGTTGTGATTTCTCTTCTCGTTTTTCTTGTTTAATTTCTCGTTCTTCTTGTTTCTTTTGCTGTTCTTGTATTGCTACCATCAAGTCTGCTAGGCTGTAGTTTGATTGCCGCTTCTCGTTTCCATTTTTTTTTCTCTGTCCCACTCTCTGACACCAATTTGTTACGCCTCCAGTCGTTAATTGATTTTCCGTAAATTCGTTCTGACAAAACTTTAACGACACAAGTCCTTACTTAATAAATCTGGTTTATTCTTTCCGAATATAACTTTACGATACACTCAACTTCAACAGTCGCGCTATAACAAACTATAATAACGACGTTAACTTCAACAATACTTTCTGACTGCAGATCAATTACTCACTGTCTACACACATATTGTCACGTCACGCCGTGACCATCTTATATATACCAGATTGCCCTATATCTAGTAAATGCTAGGGCATTCACGAAGGAACAAGATACTTCTAGAAACGTGGCGTGACACTAGTCACGTGACCTTGCTGACGCAACAATACTTTAACAGGAGGATATCTCGGAATTAAGAAGACATTGAGTCACCTACGACAAGGATTTTACTGAATAGGTATGAGGCGAGATGTGGAAGAATGGTGCAGGACATGCAGTACATGTAGTGCTAAAAGAGGACCGAAGCGTAAGGGACGCCCACCTTATGAAGAGTTGCCTGAGAATGTGTCAGAGTTTGTGAAAGTGTTATCGGAAAGGATGGATGATATTCACCATCATGTACGTTCAAACTTGAAAACGTCTGCTGAATCGATGAAGCTATCTTATGATAAGAGATCTACTGAAGTGAGCTTTGTAAAGGAGACAATGTGTGGTTGTATAATCCCAGGAAGTCCAAAGGGAAGTCTCCTAAGTTGTCTTCTCCATGGGAAGGCCCATATGACATAGTGGATCATCTCTCAGACGTGGCTTTCCGAATAAAATGTGGTCGGCGAGGTAAGCCAAAGGTGGTGCATGCCAACAGGCTTTGGCGTTATCACAGTCCAGGACATTTCAGTTGGGACGAAGTGAACAAAGGAACAAATGACGCTGCTGAAGAAGTCCCCTAAAATTAAGAGACTTTGTTGAATTGTAATTTTGTGTTTGTAATTCTGTACATTTGATTAAGTTATTGTTAATTGTTATTGGTTTATTGTAAGTGGTTATTGTTCAGGACGAACAATACTAAGAAGGGGGCAGTGTTGCGTCAGCGAGGTCACGTGACTAGTATCACGCCAC